TTTTTGATTTTTAAAATTAGTAAAAACTAAAATTGAGAACTAAAAAAAGAATAATATTAATTATAGGAAAAAGTAATTAATGATTTAAGTAATTCAATGATTATTTCCTTTTACTATAAATAAAAAATTTTGAATTTGGGTCGTATAACATGCAGGTGGAATGAGATAAAAGACGAAAGATAGTTGCCCCATATTGTACAATCAAGATAAAAAAAACAATAAAAAAGTGTAAATCAGTTTAACTCTAAAAAATAATTAAAGCTCTAATATTAAATAGTATTGTTTTATTTGATTAAAATTCAATTCAAAATTTAAAAAATTATCTTATTAAATATTAATATATTAAAAAATATAATAAAAATATTAAATTTAATATTTAATATTTAATAAAATAAAATTTAAAATTTTAAACATAAATTAAAATTCTAATTATTTTTTAAAATAACACTAATACGCATCAATTTTAAAGTGGCCATTTTTTTTTTTTTAAGAAAAAGTTTATTAAAGAATGATCTGTCTGTCACTAGCTAGAATGACACAACACCAAGAAAAAAATTCAAAAAACGTCCCTTTAAAAGGTTTCTGTGGTCCTGGCTGTGTGTAGGATTCCAGATTTAATTTAAAACGTAGACCAAAGACTAAACATGTAAAGTGGACCGTTCCATGGGCGTAGAGGAGAAAAAAATTATTGTCCTCCCTTCTAGGTCACTACCACAAAAGCAAGAACCAAGTTCCGATGGACAATAAAGGACATTAACGTCTGCATTTTTCTGTTCCCATTACATGGTTATTATCGTCCATTCAACTGAAAAGAACCACCAACGATTAGATTCTTAATTCTACGTGTCATTCACGTTTTATTAACTTTTAAAAACAAAAAAATTTTATTTCTTTTTGATTTGGATGATTACCATGTCTCCAAGTCAATTCGTATGTAAATTTCATAGTAATTTCTCTCTCCTTACAATTTTTTTAAGGTACACTTGACATGTATTCATCAAAATTAGTTTGTTTAGAGCTGATTTTAAGATTTTAAAGGTATACTTTTAAAAAAAATATTATGTAATTTAAATTGTATTAAATTATATAATATTAATTATTAAATAATAAAAAAACCTTTGATACAAAGAAAAATCTTTATTTTATTATTTAATATATTTTAAATTATTAAATAAAATTATATATTTTACCTTATATATATTAAAAAATTTTAAAAATTATTTTACATTTTATCCTATAATAAATTATAAGATCAAGATGTTCAGAGGATGAGAGTCTAAAAGATTGGATCTCCTTTTCTTTTTCATGGAATTGTTCTTATAATCTATTACAAGCTGGATTATAAGACAAGACATCCTTAAAAATTATATATATCTGTTTTTTAAAATTATTATTTTATAATTTAAATTATAAATAAAAATTTAAAATATTTATCTCTTATTTCAAAATTCATATTTTATGGGGTACTATAGTACCATTACTTTACCAAAAAAAAAAAACAACATACAGTCCCCTTACAAACCACTTTTTTCTAATTTTTTTAACAAAAGAAATGCGGCTTCAGTGTCCACATCTCCCAGGAAAAGAAACTTCCTTGCTAACAGACTCTTCTCTTTCTTTCTTTCTTTCTTTCTTTCTCTTTAACAGTCTGATCTTGGAAAAACCAAAGAGATGAATTTGGTGAGGGAAGAAAAGAAGAACCCTAGATCATTTGTTCAGAAAAATTCACCATGAGAGCTCATCATTTGAGCTTCTTTTTGATTTTTCTGTCATTGTCCGTGTCCACAATCAAAAGTGCTAGTGTTATCCAGGATTATATCATTGATGGTATCCGAATTCACAGGAGAATTTTGCACCAACCATTGTTTCCGGTAAGTTCGTCTCCGCCGCCGGATGCTACTGAAAGCTACCCTCCACCACCGCCGCCGCCGTATAACCCCGATCCTGACCAACCCTTTTTCCCCGAAGTCCCTTCTGGTTCTGGGTCTACTCCGGATCAGACCCAGCAGACTACTCCGCCGTCTGCACCGGGAAATGGAACAATTCCGATCCCCACGGCTACACAGCCGACAAAACCGGCTAAGAAAGTTGCAATTGCTGTATCGGTTGGGATTGTCACATTGGGTATGCTGTCAGCACTTGCGTTCTTCTTGTACAGGCACAGAGCTAAACACCCCGTGGAGACGCAGAAGCTTGTTGGAGGAGCCAATTCGCAGCGGTTCCAGGAAGACTCCAGAGTGCCACCGTCTAGCTTTCTTTACATAGGGACGGTGGAACCCACTGGGACAGTGGTGAGTGAAGTGAATGGAGCAAATGGGTCACCTTATCATAAGCTGAATTCTGTAAGGAGATCGGATCGGTACAGGCCTAGTCCGGAATTGCAGCCATTGCCGCCGTTGCCTAAGCCTCCTCCACCAGAGAACTCGCCGCCTGCAATGTCATCTTCGTCTTCTTCAGATGAGGAGAGTCACGGAACAGCATTTTATACGCCACAAGGCTCGTTGATCAGTAATGAAGAAGGCTATTACACTCCGGCGGCGCGCCCGGTAAATCCGGTGAGGAATGGTTCACATGGAAATACAAGCTCAGTTCCTTATTCAAAAAGAACATCTCCTAAATCGAGGCTTCCAGCTTCTTCACCGGAAATGAAGCATGTTATTATACCGTCAATAAAGCAACATCCCCCTCCATCACCACCTCCGCCACCACCACCTCCTTCTGAACTTCAAGACCCACAAACACAGCCAAGAGAGACTCGGATTCAAAGGAGTCAACAGGAATTCACAGGTCCTAAAAGGCCTAAATTTTCAGCGCCACCACCACCACCAAACATGGCGCTGCTACGATCAATCAACAGCAATTCACCCCTCCGAACGGCAAAACATCCAATTCCACCCCCTCCACCTCCACCGCCTCCACCACCACCAACACAACAAGTGGCAGGAATGGCAGCAGTAATAAAAACAGGGGCAATAAGAACAGCGGCGTCTTCAGTGCCACTAGAAGTGTTCAGAAAGCGAGAATCCAGTACTCCAAGCCCCAAAAGTACTTCTGAGAATGGGTCAAGAAAACCCATGGAAGAGGTTAACAGCAAAGGTGCTAGCTCCTCAGAGAGGATTGATGGGGATGATGTGGATGGTGCCAAGCCCAAATTAAAGCCTTTGCACTGGGACAAAGTCCGTGCAACCTCGGACAGAGCTACAGTGTGGGACCAGCTTAAATCAAGCTCATTTCAGTAAGTGATAAAACCTATACATTCCCTACTGGATAGCTTAAAGCACAATCTTTCTTGGAAATTTCACTTGTTTGTTTGCAGATTGAATGAGGACATGATGGAGACTCTTTTTGGCTGCAATTCCACCAATTCAGTACCCAAAGAACCTATCAGAAAATCAGTTCTGCCGCCTGTTGAGCAGGAAAACAGAGTGTTGGATCCAAAGAAGTCACAGAACATAGCCATACTACTGAGAGCATTGAATGTTACTAGAGATGAGGTGTCTGAAGCTCTTTTAGATGGTAAGTAGTAATATACTTTTCTGGAAACTGACATTGTTTAACATCGTACTTCATTTCCAGTTAGGTTCTTCAGCTCAGGTATATAACTAAACATAGTAGATTTCTCGTGTGGGCAAATTTTGATACCTAGGTTGCATCTCCATCACTTGCGTCTACAAAAGGTGAAGAAAAAACAAATAGAAACACAGATATAAGAGTTCAAGAGCTTTTCTGAGAAGTCATCATGATTACACTAAATGGGAGCAGCAAGTTTGTTCCAGTATCATTTCATTTGTATTATTGAGTTAATTCTATCGTGAAAATTTTCTTTAAAGAAGGCAAGCTAGTTAACTTGCTTTAGAATACATAGCATATTGTGGTTTATAGTAACATACTCCTAACTTTCATGACACATTACACTGTGGTCAGTAGGCTTAACTGGTATTCCTTCAGAAGAGCTTAATCAGTGTATATTTTACAGTTTTATGCTCAAAGCTAATACACTACCTCGACAAGAAGCCTGAACAGTGACTGATGCAATAAACTCAACACGAATAGTAGGAAAAAGAAAGGATACTTATTTTAATGTCAGTGACTACCACTGTCTGTGTTATCTTTTCATTGCAAAAATCTCATCACTCTTATTTCATCTATGGACTATATTCTGCAAAATTCAATTCAATGGAAGCAGATAGACATAAGAAGTGATAGATCACTAGTAGTGTAGAACAACTTACTGAGCATAGTATTTATGAGGACTTAGGTAGTCTTTAGAGGATGCTATATGAACATTGTTAAGCACGGTGCAGGCATTTCGGGAGTGAGGAGAGGAGAAGGGAGAAGAAAGTTCTTCTGAAATGCCTGATAGAGGGTCTAAAGATTAATATAGTTTGATTATCTAAATCCTGAGAATTTGGTTTTGAACATCACATGCATTTTTCCCTTGGGTTGACAGGTAACCCGGACAGCTTGGGTGCTGAGCTTTTGGAAACACTGGTAAAGATGGCACCAACTAAGGAAGAAGAAATAAAACTTCGAGAATATAGTGGGGATGTCTCAAAGCTAGGATCTGCAGAGCGCTTTCTCAAGACAGTACTTGATATCCCATTTGCCTTTAAAAGAGTTGAAGCAATGTTGTACAGAGCCAACTTTGACACAGAAGTAAAATATCTGAGGAAGTCTTTTGAAACCCTTGAGGTATAACAGAAGGCTCAGTATCCTGTGGATTGGATCTGTTACAACTTAGTAGGCACTCTTCTAAACTCATTTTTTTCTTGTACATAACAGGCAGCTAGTGAAGAATTGAAGAACAGCAGGCTTTTCCTCAAACTCCTTGAAGCTGTTCTCAGGACAGGAAACCGGATGAATGTTGGCACCAATCGTGGTGATGCTAAAGCTTTTAAACTTGAAACCCTTTTAAAACTTGTGGATATAAAGGGAACTGATGGAAAGACAACACTGCTACACTTTGTGGTCCAGGAAATTATTAGATCTGAAGGAACAGGTACTAATTCTACTAATGAAAATCTTGAAAACAAAATGTCCTCCCAATTTAAAGAGGATGTTTTCAAGAAGCAAGGATTACAGGTTGTGGCTGGGCTTAGCAGAGACCTCAGCAATGTCAAGAAGGCCGCAGGAATGGACTCTGATGTGTTAAGCAGTTATGTATCAAAGCTAGAAATGGGACTTGAGAAGGTCAGATTGGTTTTGCAATATGAGAAGCCAGATATGCAGGGGAAATTCTTCAACTCAATGAAGATGTTTCTGAGAGATGCAGATGAGGAGATTGCTAGGATCAAGGCAGATGAAAGAAAGGCTTTATTGCTTGTTAAAGAAGTTACTGAATACTTTCATGGGGACGCAGCAAAGGAGGAAGCCCATCCTTTTAGAATCTTCATGATTGTAAGAGATTTCCTATCAATATTGGACCATGTTTGCAAAGAAGTAGGGCAGATGCAGGATAGGACAATGGTGGGTTCTGCCAGATCCTTTCGGATATCGGCAACTGCTTCACTACCTGTACTCAACAGGTATACTGCAAGACGAGATACAAGTTCAGATGAGGAAAGCTTATCTCCATGAAATTATGATACAATTGTCTTAGGTGCAAATCAAACTAGCTAATAGTGCCACGGCCATACACATTTTCCACTAAAACAGCAGCACATATAAATCCTCTTCCATTACAACCATGCAAGCAGCACACTGATGGCAGTATAAAAAGCTTTTCAAAATGAGTCTCGTTTTCAGAAAGGTTTCAGCATACTTAGAGATGTTGCTGCTATTGATGAGGTGCAGTTTCTTTCAGAAGGAGAAGTTCATTTTGTACAAGAATCAAAGAGGTATAGTGTGCACAGGCCAGGCATGATATAATAAGAGCAGGTAGAGAACAGTGGGAAAAGTTTACACAATAATGTGAAAACCATTGAAGAGCACCATCAGCTACATCCAGCATCCAAATTCATGGCCAAGTGAAGAAGAATGTGTCATTGAAAAGGGGAAAAAAAAAAAAAACTTTTTGTCTGCTCTCACACACAGCCATAGTTAAGATAGATTTCTTCTTTTAGATCAGACCCCATACGTATTCGGGAAAGAAGAATGTTTTTTCACGTTCCTTGTATTGTGTTGTGCATTTATTTCATAATTACTAATAATGAATAGCAAATTTGCAATGTTGCTTGCTTGGAGCTATGTTTGCATTTGTCATGATTTGGTTTTAGATACTTGCTCAATCCTAAAGGACTACCATTTAGGACTACATATCATTAATGCAACATTCCCTTTATGCAGAATCAGGAAGACAGCAAAAGACAACACATGCATAAATGAGATGTTTCGGTTCCAAGGATGTTTGAAACACAAAAATAGTTGCTGAAGGTAATGATCACCAAGTGACTGTTAAAATGCCACAAGGAGTAAATCCTGAAAATCTTCTTTCTTGAGGTGTAGTCAAAGAGACATTAATTTTTCAAAGGTGTTTTTGTTCTTTATGACTTGATTTCAAAGCTAAAAGTTAAGCTAGAATTACCAGACTGTTAGTGTTGGAAAAGATAGATCAGGATAAGAGCATGAAGGTGAAGTGAAAATTCTATATAATATACTTACAGATGTTCGCAATAAGCTCTCGATTTTCCACCATTGCAGATATTTAGAAGGTTGATGAAGTTCAGAAGATCGTTGCGCTGCTGCGTATATGCATAAATAGCTGCTCCTTTCCCTGTAAAAGAAAGATGGGAAGACACCGCCATTGGTAAGGAAGGCTCCGATTGGTTTAAGGTTAAAATACTAATTTGGTCCCTCAACTTTTAGCTTTGTACCAAAAATTTCCTTTAACTTTAAAAATTACCAAAATTGTCTTTAAATTTTAATTTTTGATACTGAAATAATCCTTACGTTAATGAAAGTGTAACATAATTTGTTATCTTATCACAAAATTAATTATTTTTTAAAATATTAGTGATATATAAAATCAAACAGTCATATTTTGTTACCGTGATATATTTTTATTTATATATATTAAATTAACATATAATTAAAGTTGAAAAACTACTTGGTATTTGTAGTCAAAATTTAAAGACTAAATTGATATTTATTTTCAAAGTTTAAGAAGTAAATTAGTACGTACTTCAAAATTTAAGGATTATTTTAATACTAAAAATTAAATTTCAAAAATAATTTTATTTTTTTTAAAGTTAAAAAAGTAATTTTAATACAAATTTAAAAATTAAGGGATCAAATTAGTATTTTAACTGTAGTTTATCAGAGAACTAACAAATGGAAAGAAAGAATAAGACATCCATGGCCCCACAAAAAAAATAATTAAAAGAAAAATGACGACGCATTTAATAACATATGTCTGAGAAAAAAACCTGAAATAATTTTCTCTTCCTTTAGAGAAGGAATAGGGATCATCATAGGGACACCCATCGGTTCAACACCTAACAGGTCACACCGTATATAATATGTATTATTTGGTGGTTTGGAATAAGAATGAAACACTTCAATGTTCAGCTATTCATGATCACAATGTCTATTCTTATTACCAAATAGGTTGGAAATGTGGGTCTTCCTATAGAAGAGAGAGAAGAAGAACATAGAACCTTATTGTCCCTTCCCTTCACATATTGCAAGTGTTCGATTCTTTGCACATAATGCTTTGATTTGAGATAGGGAGAAGCGAATGTGATGGATTGTGGTCATTAGCTTTGAATCCTTCTAGGTAAGCGAGTATGGGGTGTTGGGTTTGTCAGCTGAGGAGTGTGCGAAGAAACTTGGGTTTAACTTCCGTGTTCTTTTCTCTTATTTGATTTTGAATCTCAACTTGCATGGATTTACCTTGCAAGTTGATTATTTCAAAGTTTTGAATCAAAGATGCCGGGTTTTGGTTTATTAGAGTTTATGATTAGAAAGTTTTTAATTTGAAATATTGGATTTAAGGTGATTACAGTATGATGCGAAAGAGGGAAGGTCAGGGAAGGTCAATTGCCATGGTTTCATCAAATTGGGATGAGTAAGAATCTATAGAATTTGGAGAAATGGAGGTTGGGGAAGGGCAATTAGGACGACTAAGTATTGGAATTTGTACAATTTCGAGAAATGGAGGTCAAGGGAGGCTAATTGACATGGTTTCATCAATTTGGGATGGATAAGAATTTGTAGAATTTGGAGAAATGGAGGTTGGGATAAGTTTTTGACACTAAAGAAATCTAAGGAGCCAAACAATAACTCAAACAAGTTAGGGATAAGTTTTTAACACTAAAAAAATCTATTTAAATGCTATTATATTTTTTGAACCAAATGGAGTAGCTAAGAGTGTCGATTGGCAGGGTAAACACATCATTATCTGAAGGAATATTTGGTCTAAAGAGAGGGAATGTGCTAAATGATAATGCTAAGCCTACAACAACTCATTTGGCTTGGAAATGAAAGATAATTTATTTACTAAATGTATAAAATGAAGCCACTAAACCAGCCCAAAAAGAGTATCTGTGCATATTCTACTTTTAATTATATTATATGTCTTATTGTTATTAAATTATTACCATCTCTATTCAATTTTGATAGATTTAGTTTTTAATTGGAGTCGTTTAATAAATTTAATTTTTAATTTAAGGTGTTCAAATTGAATTGTTTATATATTTTTTAAAATGTTA